TGTCAATTTATAATGTGATCCCAAACTTGGTTATTGGTCTATTTGATTATGATCACATAAGTTTTTTTCGATTCTCAAATATCTTAGCTCTTAGAGTAAACCAACTATGTTTTATTAGTGTACTCCTATTGTGACCATAGATTTCTTGAGCGGACATTTATCGAAGTGCAGAGTGATAACTCTTTTAGCATATAAGAGATGACATATCCTATCTTAGTCTTCTACCTATCTTCATTAGATTTCTAGTGTATCCAACGAATCACCCACGTGCAACTCTTTACTTATCCATCAAAACAAATTTCAACATACCTAAATCCTCTAATGAGATAACCATGATGACTTCAAGTCAAAGGACCAATTGTACCCATCTCGTATGAGATTCTCATAGACTAAACCAAATAGGTTCTCATAACGAGTTAAGTTTAGTGATATGTTCTCTAACATAAATCACGTAAGTGCTTATTTTGGCATCATCATGTCAATAGGTGTGAGATCTCATACTCGTTATCTTATAGCATGAGTATAACACTCACAAGTCTAACTACATATAGTTAATGTCCATTCTTCACAATGCTATGACTTGGAACATTTAACGATATCATTTTAAGTGTATTAATATTTGTCGCACATCTTTCGATCAATCATTAATGCAAATGCATATCATATGGATCTCTATCTAATTCTATTCAATAAATAAATATAAACAATAAAATTAATAGAAATACCTCTTTTATTAGTAATCAAATAAATAATATAATGTTACAATAGCTCAAACCATCCAATCAAGATTGGATATTGGGCACCTACACTAAAAATCTCAACTTTTTTCTTGGTAAATTTTGATTCTCTCTTGCTTTCTTTCTTGTGATTTTCTCTCTCTTTCTCTCTTAGTGTTAAATCTTTATATCCAAATGAATGGAGGCAAATGAAAATTAAAATGAAAACTTAAGTAAATTCTCCTCTTTTATTTCCCTATATTAGCTGCAATTTTTAGACCAAAATAACCTTAATGAGATATATGTTCTAAAGTGGTTTTTTTATACCTAGACATTTTAATTTAGGCGGAACACCTAATTTAGGACATTATTTCCTAGATTAATTCATGTTTAGGACAAAATTTTAAATCATAAGTTATACATGTATGAGAATATTTAATTAAATTATATTTTTTAAGTCTTTCACTTTTCAATTAATTTACTATTCACATATAACACTCAAGCAACATTAATTTTGTAAACAAAAAACTTATCGATAATAACACAAACATGACGTGAAAATACTTAGCAAAACAAATATACATACAAAGCATAGAAAATAAATTCGGATATTATAGTTTCGCTCTTGGATGGAATTTCTTTCTATTATGAGCAAGTGTAGAGTAAAACACAATGGACCAAAAACTCTAAGATGATTATAACTAAGGGTTTTATGAAAAAAAGTTCATAAGGTGAGATATTTGAAAGAACAAAAATAGGTAATCTATTAATGATGTAAGTAAATATCAATACTACATGCCCCTAGAATTTTGTAGGGAAAGATGCTTGGAAAGAAATGATCTAGTCATAACAATTATATGCCGATGTTTTCTTTCTACTATTGCATTTTGCTTAGGTGTTTCAACACATGACATTTGATGTATAGTTCCTTTGGAATAATAAAAATCAAATAGATAGAATTCTGGACCATAATAAGTTCTAAGCTATAAAATTGAATAACCAAACTATGTTTTTATTAAATTATAGATAAAAGGTACAATGTGAGATACATCACCTTTTTTTTTCATTAAGAAAACCCGTGTGGTTCTAGTGTAATCATCTACCATAGTAAAAAAGTAATGGAAGCCACAAATAACCGCTACAAAATTCAGAACCCATATATCTATATAAACAAGTTCAAAAGATTTTGTAATATTTCTAACATGAGTAGGAAAAAACAATCGTTTTTGTTTAGTTAATGGACAAACCACATAAGAAAAATCCAAAGTACACCGAATATTTGAATAAGATTGTTGTAGAATTTTCATTTTATCAACGAAGTATGTCCTAACCTAAAATGGCACAAGTTAAAAGAGTTACTAATAATGTTATTTATCGAAACATTAACATAAGGCTATGTAGATTTTGAACAAACAATGGATCGAGTAGGATTGCTTGATTGCAAAAGAAATGATCTTGAATGAAGTTTAGCAAGTTCAATCACTTTTTAGGAATGAAGGTCCCGAATTAGACAAGAATTGCCGGTAAATATCAATCCATAATGTTTTGATGCTACAAACTTGTTCACGAGATAGTATGCTATAATGAAACATAGGAACAAGTAAGACATCGGATAGATTGAGTGATGGAAAAATTGTAACATCACCAATATACGTAACACTATTTATTTCTAGTTAGTAGCTATACCATCACATAATTGATAGTATGATAAAAATCAAACAAATCTATAAAAGAAATGATATGGTCTATTACACTCGTGTCAACAATCCAAACATGTTTATTCAAGCAAGTATTTGATTGAGAACTCATAGCATAAGGAGTTATGTTTAGAAAGTTGTTACTCGTAACATTAGAAACAAGAGTGAAGTTGGATGACATGACTGATTATGAAGGGGAAATTGATGAATTTTGCTCATTGAGAACAATCATGAGTTTCGAAATTGATTCTTTGTCAAAGACATCCGTATAGAAGCACCATCCAAGACTTTATCATCCCGAACCTTTGAATCAACATAACCGAGTTACATTGTTAGCCACATGCTGATAAGTAGATTTGCTCTTGGTGAACTTGAAGTGAGCTAGAAGCCCAATCAATTTATAACATTTTTTTTTTTTTGTGTGTCTAGTTTTGCCACAAGGACTACATACAACATCATTAGTTACTTCTCTTCATTACTCGCTACCATTGTTGAATTCTTAGTGAAAGGTTGACATGCAACCTATGCCTCTAGTTTTCCTTTCTTAGTGTAAGATTATACATCTTATCTAAAGTAGGAAAAGGTTTCATGACTAGAATCCGAGATTAGAGAAAGTCTCGCTAAGCCTATTGATAAATCTAAACATATGATATGATCTTTCTGTCGCATATCAACAAACTTCTAAAAAAATCTTTATTCCATCTTTCACATGAACAATGAGGTAAAGGTCTAAAGTTTTTTAATTCATCCCAAACACTACTAATTCTGTAAAATATTCATCTATTGACTTATTTTCTTATGAGATTATGTACAAAGATAGTTGCAAGTTACAAATCGTTGCATCATCTAGCTATGAAAATCTTCTTTTGAATGTCTCCCGACTCTTATAAGCAAAATCAATGTAAAACAAAATAGATGCTATTGTTGGTGAAATTGACTTTAACAACCGGACAACAATTAGATTGTTACACCTTGTCCATACATTATACAAGGGTTCATTAGCTATAGGTGGTTTAATCGATCCATCCACAAAACCATTCTTATTCCTAATTGAAAGAGTTGGTAAGTATGATCTACTCCAAGTAGCATGGTTATTAGATATGACCTTGGGGGAAACTATAATTAGTCCATGATGATCGAAACTATAACTAGTCCATGATGATCATAATGATATAAAAAATAAGGTGATGAAGGATCTTCTAATGTAGAAATCAAATTAGCTATAGAGGAAGAACAATTGATTCTTCATTTTGAGGCCAATGATAAGATCTATTAAGGCTTGAAAAACGAAGCAAAACAAGAAAGCCTTACCAAAAAATTGATGAAAAATAGAATCGATCGAAATGAAATGAAGATGGTTGAGTTTGAATCAAAGAAGAAGATGATGATGAAAACAACTAAAGCTTGTAACGTAGGATCTTTAGCTGTGATACCATGTTAAAAATGAATACATGAAGAAGAAAAGTTGAATTTGAATTTTAAAGAAATATTTAATATGTATTCTTCACTCTCTAATTGATTAAAATGAAAATGAGTTACAACGGCTATGTAATAGCCGCTAACGATAAGTAAGAAAGAAGAAAATAACAAACTAGTTAACTAACCGAATATTGACTAATTAACTAATTCATTTACTAACTAACCACTGAATTAAATAACCATTTGTAATTTTATTTTTCATTTTTATATTTTCTATCATTATTTTTCATCTTATCTACTTCATTTTGTATTTTACTATTTCTCGATAAATAAATAGCAAAGAATATAAAAATGTTGATGAAAGAATTGAATAATTTGAAAACATAAGGATTGAATATATAATTTTTTAAACCACAAAGAATAATTAATTAATTTTCCACAAGGATTAAGTTTTTATTAACTCCTGTCTGAGGGTAGAAAAGAAACGATATTTCAGAGCACTTGACAACAAAGTGCGCTACCTGGTTGGTACACATCCAACTAGGCCCAGCTTTGGATTAGCTTGGGTTCAGGAACAAAAGCCATTTTGTTATTTTTATATTTTTCCCAAACGGCCTTCTAGAACTTGAATTAAATTCTCAGCAAATTCTGTTTTTCGGAAATGCAAATAGATATTCCTCCATTTAACTTTTGTTGTTTGAAATGAAGAGATTAAATAAGCAGCCAATTTGTTATTTTTAAAGCTGAGATAAAGATCATTTGCCAAGCCGACCAAGAGATCGATCGCATGAATGAAAATAAACAAACATTGCAACGGGGTTCAGACAGAATCCAGAACGAAATAAATGGCAACCTCATAATCACATTGAGTGCGAACATTTTTGGAAGCTTACAATTAACATTCCCATTTTCCAGGAGCTACAAGACCTGGTGCAAGAAGATAAGAAAAGGCCATTCATATATTTATATGTTGGCAAAACTAAACTCACGCTATAATGGTCCTAAAGCTGCTGCCGATAAGCTTATGCTAAGAGAGAAATTACAATGCATAACGACAATTCAAGCACTACTAGCACAACCCCTAAAGAAAAAAAGCATAATTATGGCCTACAGAAAGAAGCAAGGCAAAATGGATCGAGACCGAATGATAACTAAGAAAACGCTGCTATTATGATGGAGCACCAAGGTAAGAGGCCAGTCGCAATATGTCACTGAATATTCCACCAGCTGTGACTTGAGCCCCAGCACCAGGTCCACGAACAATCAGAGGCTGTTCTTTATACCTTGTAGTTGTGAAAGCTATTATGTTGTCAGAACCAGCGAGCTGTGCAAATGGGTGATCTTTCTTGTATCTTCGCAACTCGACACTCCCTTCTTGACTCACCGCATCCACCACCCCAACATACCTCAGTACCTTTGGATTGTATACAATAGAGAGAACAAAAACAGGGAAAAAAGTTAGACGAAGACAAATATTTAAGAAAACATACTCCACCTAAACCAACACAAAGTGGCCATGAATTTTTCTTGCAAATTAATTATGGAAGGATGACATAAAAAAAAATAAATAAATAAATCTTCAATTTCAGAGCTCACTGCGGTTCATAAGTACTCAATACTGTTATACAGTAAGAATGGGCGTTTGGCCAGTGGCACTGGCCCTCACAAATCAGAGAGGGGAATACATCTCAATTTCAGGTCTATGCTTGCCACCAAAAGAATCAAAAGTTAATGAAATACATATTCTTTCTCCCCATTAGATGTCCATAAGGATCTTCTCTTTAACTGGCCCTCACAAATCAGAGGAGAGGGGAATACATCTCAATTTCAGGTCTATGCTTGCCACCAAAAGAATCAAAAGTTAGTGAAATACATATTCTTTCTCCCCATTAGATATACATAAGGATCTTCTCTTTACAATTCCTTTTTGCTTAAACTTGATTTGGGTTACATCACATAAACTGAATCACTTCTGATCTATTTCTCCCAGTTTTAGGCCATCAGCAGAACAAAAGCCATTATCACACAAATCTAAACAGAACATATGAACCTTTCTATATGATCAATAACTAAAATGTCCTCAAGAAAATGTGACTTAAAAGTTATGCTTTTGAAGTGGAAAAAAGTTGTTACAAAGGTGTGCTTGATAACATGTGCCGTTGAAAGTGGTTTTGCTATTGGAATGGGAAAAAAAATCAGAATTTAATCAACAAAATACTAATGGTTTACTTTCGCTGTAACAGCTGCTAAAACTATTTAATGTTGTTTGCAAGGATGTTTATATGAACACCTTTGTAGTGGAAAAAAGTTGTTACAAAGGTGTGCTTGATAACATCTGCTGTTGAAAGTGGTTTTGCTATTGGAATGGGAAAAAAAGCAGAATTTAATCAACAAAATACTAATGGTTTACTTTCGCTGTAACAGCTGCTAAAACTATTTAATGTTGTTTGCAAGGATGTTTATATGAACTTATGCACCAACATATTATATTCCTCATTTAAGTATTCACATAGAATCCTATTATGATTATGGACAATTTGCTAAGTTGGCAATCGAAGAATTCGGTTACTTAAAAAGCAATTAGAAACAAGTGGAAACATCTCAAGAGACACTCACATCCCCTGCATCCTCAGCCTCTTGTCTCGCCCTAGCCATTTCATTGTCGAATTGTGGTAACTGCTGCATAAACTCTTCAGCAGATGCAACAGCCTGAAGCAAAAATTAAAAACATCACGTCAAAGGCAAACTAGTGTCATAAGCCCAGTTTATGATTAACATAACATGAATCTTACTCTCAGTGGTTCAGGGACAAGACTTTGAACAGGGATATCAGAAAGCTCCAACTTTAAACCAGATTCTCTGGCAAGAATAATCACCTGTAAAATGCAGCAGGCTTATGACTCTGCACTTAAGGAACTGACTATACTGTGAGAACTGAGAAGTACAATTTACAACCAATGAAGTTGCAGTTGGTCAACTATCAATGCCATGTCTTCATACTGACTGCAAGTTGATGCTAACATCAGCATTTAAGAGATTGTTATCCATTGAATCCAATCAACGTTTAGCAGCAAGGAATAACAAGGGACACCCATTGACCCAACAATTTATTGAAGTAATGACTCAGATTCACAAGAAGACTGACTTGATCACTCATTGGTCAGAAAGTATTCAATATGCAAGAAATTTCAAGAACAAAGTCCAATAGATGTAGATGTTTGACAATAAGAGGAGATAAACAATTTGGCGAAGGTAATGAGGTAGACAGAACCTTTCTGGCAACATCCGTTCCAGATAGATCATCCCTTGGATCAGGTTCAGTATATCCTGCCTGCTTTGCTTCTGCCACGACATCGCTAAATGCTCGTGCGCCTATGAAGTTGTTGAAAATATAACTCAAAGTTCCACTGTGACAACAATATGGGGAGAAAACTTGTTTCAAAAGATGCATGGTGAAATTATTTAACATCACTATTTCAGATACTTGAAAAAGAATTGATGGAATTATATAACATTAAATATTCATAGCCTCTTGAGTGCTCATATTCTGTCTATTAGCCAAAAGACAAGACTCACCTGAAAATTCCTTCAATGCGCAGTATTTTATCCCCAGTTTCAAGGAGACCTCGTAAAGTGCTAATAATTGGAAGGCCAGCTCCAACAGTTGCCTCATAAAAGTAATGTGTATAGGATTGCCTTTGAAGAGCTCTCAGTTTCAAATACTGCATTTATATAGAAGAAAAGATCAAGAAGAGCAAATATAGTAGACAAAGACAGGAGCAGAGATGTTGACAAGGACATGACAAGCATAGCAGTAAAAAGATTTGCAGTGACTAACAAATAGTTGATGAGCAGCATCATTTTCCTCTTAAGTTAATAAAAAGAGAAACCAACAAACTGATGCAGAAGTTTCATCATCAGGCATCCATATCTAGAGCTACAACTTCAGGAATAAAGTGTAGCTAACCTCAAAAACTTAAATTAAGAAAAAAGAAAAAAAGAACAAAGAGAAATGTAATCTCTACCCAAGATGGAATAGCAATGTGATGTGCAACAATGAGGAACTTATTCAAGAAGCAACACTTCAACAACAATACCCATAGTTTTAAATTGCAGACGCGATTGAAAAAACAGTTACGATTGCAATTGCAGGTCACAGTTTATCGCAACAGTAAAATAACGGTTGTGGCAACCAATGCGTAAATGCATTAACAGCTGTTAATAAGCTTATTTTGATCCATATATTTTAATAGTTTTACTAATTAAGCATAATACTAGTATCTCTAATAGTCTCATATCATCCAAAAAAAAAAAAAAAAAAATTAATAACACTTCTAATAGCTTAAAACCTCACTACAAATAATACAATACATTACAAACTTCAAAATATAAGATTTCACGTGGATAACATCTGAAAGAGTGTATAATAGATTCAGATTTTTTAAAAAAGAAGCAAAATAAATAAATAAATAAATAAATATAATGCTGTTACATAACAACAAATAACAGCATTAATGTTTAGAGTGTATATATAGATTCAGATTTTTGAAAAAAGAAGCAAAAAATAAAAATAAATATATTTTCCATTATATAATGGCAAATAATGGCGTTGCATAACGGTAATGTCGTTATTTGCCATTATTTGTGTGAAACAGTGATGGAGACCCTACAAGGCGACTAACAGTAACCAGGGTGCCCGAAACCGTTATATAAATGTTCTTAGATTACGTAAAAGCCGTTATTTAAAACCATGATAATACCCCAACATAATCCACGTTACCTGATCAAGTGGTCCTGAATTTGCCTTTTTGTTTGGAGTGATTACGTGAATTCCTCTGCGCAACCAATCATGATAACAACTTGCAACACTAGAGTCTGCTGTACAGTCTACTAAAACAGTATTTGGAATAAAATGATTTCCATGTACATGTTGACTGAATTTCTCCAGCTCAGCCACTTCGCCTTTATACTTTACAAGTTCTCTCCAACTTGACAAGTCAATTCCACTGCAATCAGAGACTAATGAGCTTCTTGAATACACAAACATAACTTTCATGACTGTTATCAACAGAGCATAATGTTTGTCCCCAAACAGCAAACAAATTAATCATCCGTAGAGGTGAAAATTATTTGCAACCAGTTAAATTTATGGCTCTCCATTTCAACAACTTTTGGATATTTCTGAACACAACATAATCTCAACAATTATTTCCCAATAGCTCAGAGGAAGGGAGCATGTAAACTATGAATCTCAGTCATATGCTCTTAGCAAGGGTTGAGTCTGCTTGGTCATTGCAAGAGCAGGAAATGGTAATAACCCAAATAAACTGGGTTTACCAATCTATCCTAGATTTTAGGACAGGTTTAGATACCGTTAATAATGTGAGAAATAGCATTGGATAAAGAACAAAACATGTCAGGTTTTGGTTTAGAAGTATGGGAATGCAAACCCACCCCGCAACAATGCAGCAATGCCAACAAATTGAACAAGCATGTCAATACTTGTTTACAGATTATCTTTCAGAATGAATCATCTTGTCCTTTTGTCTCAGAACAAGATTAGAGGCAATTGGCCTTTCACGTCAGGGTATTAATAAGGGTCGGTCGCAAACCCATCACAGGTTTATGTAAGGTCTTTCACTTACAATATATCATATGCAAAGGATATAGAAGAGAATGATCCTTTTTTGTTTGTTTATATAGTTTAGCATTTTAATACAGAGATTTTAGTTATGCCATTTGATAAACTACATACTAAGCAATAGTTGTTTATAGGACTTCTGAACACTCTACATCTATGGATGAAGCATATAATTTTTGTTTCAGGAAGAAATGTAGTTATGTCGGCTTTCAATAGGGAATCAGAAAGCAAAGCTAATTGACAGTGTCATATAGGCTGGAGCCTGATGTAATTCTTAACACTTACACATCACTCAAAAGCATTGTTCTCGAGCCCGTGATTCCCATAACACGCAAATCAATGTTAAAATCTTCCTTAAGGAATGCTGCCTGCCAAAAGAAATTCCAGAACATGTTCGGCGTGAATATAACATTTAGAATAATAAATTATACAATAACTAGTTAAAAAAGAAGAAAATATATGCATTGCCAATTAGCTAACATTCTCGCTCAAGTATTGGTGCAAGTATTTGTGGTCAGGAACATTTATTGGAACCTGATGCTAATTTATTCAACCGTACTGGACCTTTCTAGTTCAGAGGTCATATATAATGACTCGAGAAATAAAAATGTAAAGGACATTTATGCCAGAAAGTTTAACTGGGACTTGTTGTATAGATGCCAGTATGACATTCCAGGAACTTTTTTTTAACAGAACTAAAAGACAGCTGAATTACACCATTCATGATGATATACAGTCTTCATCATCTATCCAACCATGCAACTGCATAAGAATACCAGTAATAATGAATCCAGGATAGATGGCAGAATATAAAACATGATTTATGTAAGAAACGAATTTGGGGAAGGCGGGTTTTATGGAAAGAAATAAAAGCTTATGCAATGTAAACCCATCTATGAAATGCAGTCCTCCAAAAAAAAAAAAAAAAAGAAGATAGTTCTCCAATGGTGCTAAACTTCTGGTAGTAAAAGTCACCATTGACACACTACATAGTATTTTTACTTCATTGGTGCTATGTTGCATACATTTTGTGCACTTCTAAAACATTGACTCACCATTAGTAGTACTGGCGTGAGCAAGAAAACACAAAAAAGCTTCTAAATGTAGATCAAGCACCACATTCTTATTTAAATAGATGACAGTTGAATGATAAGGAACACAATTCAAATTGTATTTTACCTCTACTATAAATTTTTATGGTCATTTTACTTCAGATCAAAGCTATCAACTCTATTATAGTGGCAAAGTAAGATGGATTCATTAATGTTCACATTCAAACATAAATTATTCCATAATTACCAACATATAAACAAATAAAAAAGATATAACAGCATCCAAACACACACCTGATCTCTTAGCTGGTCAAGTAATGTGGCACCAATCAAACCAGGTCCAATAATTCCCATTGCTATTGTGGTTTTCGAGAAATAAAACCTCGAGTGGACAGCTCTTAAAGCCCTTATACAATCTTCACGCTTAATAACAACCGTAATATTGTATTCAGAGCAACCTTGAGCTATGGCTCGGACATTAATGTTAGCCTGCATTGCAAAAATTTCATACTCATGTCAGAAGAAAATAGCAAAAATAATTAAGAAATACTATTGAAAGTATAAAGACGCTGAGCATCCAAAAAACTTGTCTCAAGATGCATAAATAAATTCTTTTACCTTAGCCAGAGCATTGAAAAGAGTAGCACTGACTCCAGGTGTGCTAGCCATTTTCTGGCCAACTGCTGCCAAAATGCTACAATTTCGAATGACTGCAACCTGAAGTGTGATTTTGAGAAAATAATGAAGCGAGAAAATATGATTCCAATACATTAGGAAGTTAAAAAAAAAAAAAAAAAAAAAAAAAAAAAAAAAAAGATAGTATGCGATGCCATTGAGAAAGCAAACTACAGGAATAGAGCTCCAAACCAAGAGTCCACATATAAGGGAACAGGCTCAGAAGAATGTGGCTGTGAAAGTAAATTAAAATGGCATGAAGTACATTATCATTCGGTCAGTGCATATGACAGGAACTAACAGATCATACTCAAAACTAAAAACCCATCTGAGATGTCAAAAATCCAAGGATTGAAGTTTTGAAACTATTAGATAATGTTGGCTGTCCTCCACAGACACTAATAGCATTACCAAAAAAGTCACAGCATGAGAACTATCACCATTCCTATAAAATATCATAAAACTGAAGACAAATAAAACAGAATTTAAGGAAAAAAACCTCTAAGAAGCCAGTAAAATCATAATGATTTATGTTGAATTTTAGTTAAATCCTAACAGCACCTGGGAAAGACGTCCAGCATTCAAAGCTTCACGAAATCTAGACTTCAAAGCCTCAGCAACAGCTGTCACTTCCTTCTCAGGCACAGCAAAGCACACAGAATGCTCACTACTAGCCTGCATGAAATTCAGTCACTTTGCATCCATGTTAACCGAGAAAACCATCAAAATAAAATCAGAGGATAAGAAGTACCTGGGATATAACAATAACGTTAGCTCCCACATCTTTCACAGCACCGAAAATGGCACTAGCTGTACCAGGAACACCAGCCATTCCAGTTCTGCCAAACAAAAAGAGTAAACATAAAATGGGCAAAAAAGAATTCAACATGAGATCCATGAATATGAAATCACCAAGAAATGGCTCACCCCTCAACATTCACAAGAGCCACATTGTCAATAGTTGCAAAACCTTTGACAGCTGACTCCAATTTCTGGCCATCTTCATTCTCAGCAGGCCAGCAGATCATTGTCCCAGGAGCAGAGAGGTTAAAAATATTCCTTATCATAATGGGGATGTCATATCGCATCACAGGCAAAATAGTTCGGGGATGTAAGACATTTGCCCCAAAATAGGACTGCAAATCCACACAAATATAATCTTAGAAACATGTAGTCAGATAGTTCAAGCATTGACAGGTACAAGAAGAGTGGCGAAGTTCACCATTTCCCAAGCCTCTTGGTAAGACAATGTCCTTAGTATTACAGCCTCACTAACTGCAGATGAAGAGGAAAAGGAATCTTTCAGCATTACAATCCAACATCATCGCTGGTATCCTCTTAAAAGTTATAAGAGGCCATTCTCCAGAATCTGAATGGACTCACAGGAGGTAGTGCAGCAGAAGAGGTAGAACCTTGTGCAGGGGGAAAAAACAAGTGTAAACCAAGCACAAACCTTTTCTGGGGTCTGCACTGTATACCCCATCAACATCAGTCCAAATTGTGACTTGGCGAGCCCTCAACAAGGCACCAATTATAGCTGCAGAGAAGTCACTTCCATCCCGCTTCAAAGTTGTCGGAATATTTTGAGGCGTACTGGCTATGAAACCAGTTGCAACAATTGTCTTTGATGGATGTCGAGAGAACCATTCTTCAAGTCTTTTTTCAGACTTCACAAAATCAGGATCAACTTGATTAGAACCAGAGGGATTTACAGTAAGCACTTCTCTTGTATCCATCCATTCACAATCTAGCCCATTCTGAGAGAGAAAACAATAATCTAATAATACATCAAACAACTTGTGAGAGTTATAATTGACAGGTAATCTTCATGGCAAAGAGCAAATAACCACTGGACCTTTCTAACAAGGTATGACAACATCTGTGCAGACCACAACTCCCCATGTCCTACAACAAAGTCGGAAAAAGACTCCGTCGCATGACCAGCTGCAATAGATGAAAGAAGAGAGCTGTCAGAGCCAAAACTGTAGTAGGTAGCCAAATATGACAAGGAAACATAGAAACACCTCATATCAACATGAATTAAAAATAAAAAAGAGTTGCTAAAAAAATATAAAGAACTCAGATATGGCAATTTACTAGTTGCATAAGAAAGAAGAGATTCAATCCAGTCCAACACCTCATATTTGTGCATGCACAGAAAGAGAGAGCAGTCTGATACCTATGTATATTGCACGAAGCATGGCTTTGAGGTTGTTAATATCATTATGTAACCGGGACAAAAAGCTAGCAAGATCATCACCATCAAGAAGATCCATTGCTGTTAGTTTATGCTTTTCAAAAACAGCATCTAAAGCAGATACATAGGAATCATCCCGTGATTGCGCCTTGTTTATGAGATCATACATCATGTCTGTCACCTTTGACATGGCCGATACAACCACTAACTTCCCTTCTGAGCTATCCTTAACAATAATTTCTGCTACGTTCTTGATTCTCTCCGAGCTTCCCACACAGGTACCACCAAACTTATGAACTGACCACATATCACCTTTCAGAAGGTGAGCCTTTTCCTTCGATTCATCCAGCAAAACCGCTAGACACAAACGGAAACAACCCCATCGTACTTATGAGCTAAATGTAAACAAGAAACTAAATCAAGCTAGAGAAAAGAACAAGTGACAGACCTTTAACCGAACACGAGACATGGACGTGCGAAGACTCCCTTCTTCCCCTCTGGGAAACAAAACTCCTCCTGAAATAAAACGAACACAAAATCTTCAGAAATTCATTAAGAAAAATGGGAAAAAAAAATCAAAATCTAAAGATTGCGCTCTTGTTTTCCCCCTAAATCCAGCATGTATTTGTCTTGAAACTTCGATATTTTACAATTTAATAAATAAATAAAAAAAACCAGCATTTCTTCTACACATTCAAAAACTAAATTACGTATCGAAATTGAATAACCCGATCTCCAAACTACACAAGCATTAAAATAACGAGCATCATTTCCAAAACGCAACAGAACCAAAAATTGGATCTAAATTAAAACAAAAGAAAAAATCATTCCGTTCTGTTTGCATGGAACAGAAAGCAAAATTGCGATTTTGTTATTGAGTTCTGAAGCAAATAGAACCAAGGAAAAAAAAATATTAAACCTGGAGAGCGAAGAGCGAGGAGTAAGAGATAAAGTAGAGAAATGAGAAGGAGAGATCTTCGTCAGTTTGTTGTTGTTAAGCTGAGAAAATGTAAAGGAAGAAGGAGAGAGAATGCGGGAAGTATTCGAGATCGAAGCAGCAGAGAGAGCCATTTCCTTTCTATTTAGCTTAGGCTGAATAAAAATGGCAACACTTTTATTTCTCACTTCTGTGTGTTTTTTTCTGTCTGTGGGTTTTGGGTTTTTGCTTTGTATTTGGCGGCTTTGGTCTGTCAGTTATTATTTGCAAGGGAGATTGAGAGTGACGATGAATTGGTGATGATGATTTTAGGCTGGGGGAGAAAGAGAGAGTTGCTTCGGTGACAGTAGGAGACTAGATGACAGGCCACTAATGCTCTGACACGGTATAGGACAAAAAATCTCAACAAAAGGTCACGTGACTTTGCAAAATGATTAGGTTCAGTCAATCAAGTGGCCAAGTACCGACTCATCCTATTAACAAAAAAATAAAAAATAAAAAGGATGGCAATTCGCTTTCTTCTTTACTGTTCATCGCGGCCTAAATACACTGCAAATTTTAGCAGCTATAGTTTAAATTGTTTGCTCCTGCTCTTTTTTTTTTTTTTTTTTTATTCATCTTCAAGTAGCCTTGGTCATCTTTTTCTCGGGTTTATTGAAATTGTTTGATTTGCCTTTCTATTTTACTTCTAATTTTCATTATACAACTGAGTGTTTTTATGAAGTTACGTTTTCATTCTTTAACAAAAAAACATTAAAACAAAATCCTTACTTTTTTTAATTATTTACGGGTTTATAAGTTATTTTAGTAATTTTGTAATTATCAAAGTGTAATTTTTAAAGCCAATAATTACCTTACATCTCAACAGACTTATCTCTTTTTTTTTTTTTTTTATCTCTCACACACTCTTAACCACACAACCTTTCATACAAGCATAAATGAAAAAAATAATAATAATAAAACATTCATTTTCAATTTTAGTCTCAATTTCCCTCATATACCTAAAAAATGCAAGAAGATGAAGAAAATGATGGAGGTTAGGGTATTTTATTATCTGGTTTTTGTTCTTATGTGATAGACTTGTGATTTTTAGTCCTTTTTCAATGATTTTAAAAGGGACAAGGAAGATGAGTTTTTTCATTTTTGTTTTTTTATTTATTATTGTTATTATTTGCATTATGCTACCTTTATTTGACGTATTTGCGTTTTTTCTTTGTAATTTTTAATGAGAATTGATGGGGGGTTTTATGGTTTAAAAATTTTGTTATCTTTAATATAAAAATGTAATATCCACGACCTAGGACTTAGTAGGTCGAGAATATTATCACCGTTGACCTACATTTGAAGTATAATGAATGCAAGCCAATAAAGCACTCGTGTCTTTCCTATGACATTACTAGATATGGACTACGCTGCAAAAACCTATAAATGACGAATAAGTCCTACATTTTAGTCCAAAATGCACTATAAATTATTCGAGTTTTATCATTTTATTTAGGTTGCTTGGATCGAATAGACTGGATCTATGTCGCTCGGCTTTTTCCAAATTCATTTTCTATTAGTCTCGTAGGAATTTATTTATTAATTACTCGTTATTCGATATCTAATTTCTTTTATCCACGTTAATTGTCATTTATTATTATTATTCTCCTTATTAATTTAGCAATCACCTTTTATTATTGATGCTAACACGTAATGAGCTAATTGAAAGAAACTAACACTACTCATAATTAGGTCATTTCACTAGTATCAATTTGCTTCAATTTTCGATTACATACAAACTATGCCTATTTAAATACAAATCTGTTTAATTTCATATACTACAAAATGGCTTATTTATCTATTTACATCACATTTCAACTATCTATCTACTAGTTCATAGCTTAATTGTTACATAAAAAAACATGTCATACCCGAACATAGAGTAAAGAAGGTCCACTTGAAAACCAAAGCCCCGTCTAAGATATATGTGGCACATGGATCCCCCGATGTACGGTTCAAGAGTGAACATTGCCATTCTTACCCTTGGTGCCTACACCATAAGAACTAGGTGAGTGATGGCTCAATAAGTTAATCTATGCATGATATGCATATAGATGAAATGCATATGATAATCATTTGCATACTCATCATAAAATTCTTATTCATGTCATAAAATCCTCATCATGAATATTTTGAAAAGCTTTTCTATCTTTGGACATATCCCATTATAGGAACTTTAGGGTTTCCATAATATGCACGGAGAACCGGACTCTTCTACGGATGCGCCTCGTCGAGTCTTTAAAAGTGCACGTCCGCACTCATTCAATCTCGAACCATGAACCATGAAAGGTATGGAAAACCCGTGAAGCCCTTCTCATAAAACCATATAAGTCATGAAAGCCTCATAATCATGAAATATTTCCAATTGTTATTGGAAAGTCTTTAAAGGAAAATCCTTCTTCATGACTTAAAACCTTTACATAGAAATCATTTTCATGAATTAACATGCATATGCATTGTAATATAAATGCATAACTATCACAAATTCATGTAGTGCATGCCATGATCCGTGTGTATATATGCCATGACAATGCATATGTTAACATCATAAATGCACCATAAATATTAATTTTTAATGCCATTTTAAAACCAATCCATATAAAGGCACCATAAACATAAACATGCATAATTCCTCACATTAGTGACATTATGTAACACAAGGCATTACACTTCATCAACCATCAATTTCACAACTTACATCCATAACTAACACATAATTCACATTCATTGGTACCAAGTAACCCAAATCACAATCAAATTGCGTAAACTAAATCATAAATCCTAATTTCCTAATATAGGTTGAATATGCCTCTTAAGTTAAGCTAAGTATTTTCTTTCGATATCAATTGCAAATTTCTCATACTAATTCATTCAAATACATCTTAATATCAAGAACTTAACCAATTAAACATTTATAGGTTAAATGTAAGCAAAAACCTTAAATTAGGCGCAATGGGCCAAAACCCTACTTAGGGTTATATAGGTTAATTTTCTAATTTTATTGTAATTTCTCATTCTAATCTATCTTCTTACATTATTCTAACTTCAAATTAACCAATTAAACTATTAGTAACCAAATGTATTCAAACCCTAATTTTCTCCCAAATTGGGCAGAATGTGGGTCTAGAGAAAGTAGGTTAAAATTCCAATTTTTAAGAAATTTTTCATGCTCAATCATCAAATCATACCTAGATAACACAAAATCGAGTAAGAATTCATAGAACAAATCAAAGAATAAAAAACCCTACAATTGAATGGTAGTAACGAAATTGAACTAAGAATTTTTTATTTCTAACACCCATTTTCATTCTCAATTGACATATTCTAACTTCAATTTCATTAATTTTTAAGCCAAAATCATTTTCCTCAATTTTTTCTCACTAAGAACACTAACTTTAACTTTAAAAATTAAAATAATCAAACACAAATTAAAGCTTCCAAAATAAAAATTGGAATCAATAAACACTTTCTTGAGGTGTAGGTAAGATTAACTTAGCTAAATAGCTCCAATTAAACCTTGAAAAGTTGAATTGTTTAAGAAATTCCTCTTCTTTTTTTCCCTAAACTTTCGGGACAAATCTCCATGTTTCCTCCTTGTGATTTTTGACATTTTAACTTGAATTCTATGCTTGATTTAGGTGATTTTAGGTGTTTGAAAGTGTTTAGGAGAGAATTTGGGTGGAGGTTTATGGAAAATTTATAAGATTTTTCCCTTATTTTTTCAACTTTTCAACCTTTTTCCATTTTTCTTACCTCCCATATTTATAAGAAAATTTAGTTGGAACTTTTTCCTTGGTTGACTCCATCTCAATCCTTCATTTGGTTTAATCTTGGCCCTTTAACTCTCCTTTTAATTCCATCCCTTCATTTGGTTTTAAGCTTAACCATTCATTCTTTTTTTAAATTTTATCCTTCTATCTAACCACCCTCCTTAGATCTTCTCCTTTCATTTATGTTATGCATTAATTACACCAAATCATGAGGTGAATGGCAGGAAAAAAAAAAAAAAGAAGAGAAAATCTCTCTTAAATTTTGCTTAATTTTTATCCCTTAAGTTGCCAATTTTTTCTTTAATTACTCTTCCATAAGTCCTCTAATTTTTCAATTGATCACTTTAGACCCTTTCTTTAAAGGTTTTTTAATAAATTTTTAATTCCTAAAGTTCATCCCTGATTTAATTTGAAAGTTCAAACTTTTAATTTTATGCAATTAGGTCCCTAATTCTATAAAATTTATTTCACATCCGTCCAAAAATTAATTTATTTCCATAATAAATTCAAAAACCTTCTATAAGAATTTATTCATCATTCAAATAACTTTAGACACTTAGTTTGTGTAGAAATAATTTTTAAGCCTTCTAATTACTTATTTTGTGTAGAAATACACTTATTTCCATAGAAAATATTCCCATAGAAAATATTCCCTATGCTTAGAAAAATTCATCTAAGTTCAAGGAATATTCCTACACATCCTAAATTATTTTTATATATCGATTGGATAATTTTCATACACCTTTAAAGAACTTAAATTAATTAATTTACTTAGAAAACACTATTTATGCATCGTAAATTTCAAATAAAATAATCATTAAATATAAAAAAATTCATCCAATAGCATTGAATAAACTAGCACCCCTCTAGCAAATATTTTATGCAAACAGAATATTTTTCATGCACATTTAGCATGCTTAAAATAATCATTTCACATAAAAAGTTACTATTCATTCATCGAAAAATCGGTAAAATATTCACCGAGCATGAAAAAAGTATCTTAACTACTCGAATATTCTAATAATTCCTTAAAGATTATTTCATGCCTATAAAACATTTTTTATATGTCTTTATCACCCTTAAACTTATTAACTAACAGTTTTAATGGTTACTAAGTATCACATCCTCTCCTCCTTATAAAAATTTCATCCTCAAAGTTCCTAAGTAAATAGCTTGAGATATCGAGCCCTCATTTCGATCTCTCTTTCTTATGTAGCCTCCTCAATATTATGATTCCTCCATAATAATTTCACCAACAGAACCTCTTTATTTTATAATTTCTTAACTTCCCAATCTAATACTTGTACTAGCCCTTCTTCATA